AAACAGCCGTGTACCTCAAGTAACCACATACAACCCAGCACTAGAAGGAATAAGAAAAATAATCAAAGATTTACAACCCATCATAACAGAGGATGGAACTCTGAAAGAAATATTCCAGCAACCACCAATACTGGCCTTCAGACAACCCCCCAACCCCAGAAATAAACTAATCAGTAGGAAACTTCCTTCTGATCATGATGTCACAAATAATGGAAGCAAACCCTGCAATAAAAAACGCTGCAAACTGTGCAACCAAATCAATCCATCAAAAAGTGTCAGACACTCAAAAGGGATCTTTAATATCTCCAGGTCATACAGCTGCACCTCCAGTAATGTTGTGTACCTTATCCAGTGCAGAAAATGTAACAAAGGATCTTATGTTGGCGGAACAAGACAGAAGTTGCAAACAAGGATGAATTTGCACAGACATGCCATCAAGGAACGTAAAGAAGATGACTTTTGCACACCTGTGGGACACCATTTCGCACAACCAGACCACACTTTGGGAGACCTCGATATTTTAGTTCTTAAAGGAAATTTCAAATCCATTCAGGAAAGAAAAACTTTTGAACTAAGAATGATAATTCTATTTGACACAAGAGATAACGGCCTGAATTTGGACATGGGATTCCTCAATCATTATCCAACAGTTTTATGACTATCACCTCAAGCATAACTGCCTCTGTGAGTGTTGTCTTCTCCACCCCCCCCCCCCAGACTTTGCTTTTGCGGTGTCTCACCTCTGTTCTCTTTTTTTTTTCCATCCCATACATCTCTTCTAACATTCTGCTAAACCTTTGTGATCAGTACTGCTTGGACCTGAAGGGAGCACTCCCCGAAAGCTTGTCCTCAAAATTGTTTGTTAGTGCAAATAAAAAAAAGTATCACAGACAGTACTTAATTGTTTCTGTCGCAAATGCACTAATACGGCTACAATCACCTCAAGCAAACACTACAACCAAAACTAATGGCTCCACTTCTCTCTACATATCAGAAATTAACTCATCCTTCTTATATAGAATCTCTCATTTACATTCCACACAGTGTGTGAATATTTATGCCTTACATAAAATGGACATGTTTCAGTCTAATGGCAGTAAACCGCTAGCAAAGAATAAAACACATTTTATAATGTAGAGATTTCTAAGGTGTGCACAGATTAAATTTCTATGCCATTAAAATGTATAAAATAACTAAAGTAGATATAGAAGCTTGTACAGAACTCACTGCCACTCAGAATTTAACAAATTTGCTAAACATTGTTATTAAAACATACTCAAGGTAATTACTTTCAAATGTTTTAGGGTTACGTAATTTCTGCAGAAACAAAAAATGGTCAATTTGATGAAGACTTCTACACCCTTGTCAAAATTCTTCCGCACTGCTAGTTGACATTAAAGTCAAGCCGTAGTGCCTGTCACCAGAGATTTAATAACTTTAATATCCTAGGGATGGCTCATTTCTCTGTTATACCAACAGCTTTACCACCTTGTTTGAGAAAAAGAACTATACTAAATGCTCCCTGTCTCAAATATCACTTGGAAAATTCCTTCAAATGTCTTACAATACAGAGAAAAACATTCTGTCATTACCAGAGTGAGTAAAACTCAATTTACCTCACTGTAGAACATTTTGGAGCTTATTAAATAATCAGCTCAAGTCTATGAAAAAGTTTTGTACTATTCTTGCAGAGCTATGCAACTCTAAACATTATTTAAAAAATTGTCTCCATTTTTGGAGCTGGAAGGACTGCTAATACACAAATTAGCTGATCTTGTAAACTAGAAACACAAATTGTTGTCTGTGTCTTTCCCGCTTTAAAACATCTGGCTAAAAGGAAGCACCTGCTATTACTTTTGTTAACCAGAAGATACTCCTTATATTTGCCCTTCTAAAATGGATGCCAGTTTGTTACCAAGGGTTTTATTCCTGACTTTAGCACAGATTCTGCCCTACCTATCTGTCATTCATCCATGAACCACCCACTCAATGGCCAATAAGGGAGCTCCCACTCAACACGGTGATTACACCTTAAAACAACAGTATATTTCCACAGAAGAATATGCAGGTACCTGCATGCAAGTTTGGCTTTTTTTTTTCTTTTTTTGTGCTCCCCATGGATAATGAAATTTATTATAGGTTTACTTCAAAGTGGAACTCCCTCAAAAACATTTTGTGCTAGTTTTAGGTAGAGTGGGGAGGAATTAGATTTTCTTTCAAGTTTGTTGGTGTCTGTGTTCACATTTCAAAGATGTATTTATTTATTACAGGTATTTTTATAGCACCAACAGTTTACACACAAACTTTACATGCTGTACATTCACATCAGTACCTGCCCTCAAGGAGTTTACAATCTCTCAACCTCAAATTCCCTATCTCACATGCATATACTCACACACATACTAGGGAAAATTTAACCAGGAACAAATTACCCTACTAGGTTAAACCCAGAGTACCCACACAAGCACATGGAGAACATGCAAATTCTATGCAGAGAGTGTCCTGTCTGGGATTCAAACTGTGGATAACTGTGCTAGGCAGAAGTGCTAACCACTAAGCCACTGTGCTTCACTCTCACTTTCTGTCCAGATGGGTCTTTTCTCTAGTACAAAAAAGTGAAGAGAATCTAAGCTTTATCAGTTACCAATGGGAACAGTAGAGTACAAATATCCTAAGAGGGGCACCAACAAAATGTCTGCTTCATACAAAACAAAAAAAAATGTTTTGGACAGAGAGTCAACTTAAGACTGTTTGCTGAAGATCATTTGAACTTCAAACATTTTTAAACTTTATTTTTTTCTGGACAAAAACCTCTGCAAAGTATGTTTTTTTCCACACATTGGAAAATAATTTTGAACAATGACCTTCTCTTTCGAAAAGTTACAGGCAATTATTTTTAAAACTGGAATGCTGAATTCATCAATTTGTCCAATTTTCATGAAATCTGAAGGACTGGTCTGTGCATGGCCAACTTTAGGCAATCTTTTAGGAATATTTTATCCATTTGATCGGATAGAATTCTACAATAAACCTCATCTTGGCAGCTTTGGGTAGACCACACCAGATCCCAATGTGTGTACGATGTGGAATGTAAACAACTTATTTAACGCTTCTCAAATCAAGCACAATGGAGAAGGATTATACTTAATGAGACCAAGTTACAAAAAGAAAAATTCACGTTATGCAATCTCACAACACATTCGCTGCAGCGCAGTTCAGCCAATATTGTTCTAGAATAAACAAGGACAGTACTGAGTAGTTTGAGTTTTAAATGAGATGTATCCAAGCATTTTATAATCAGGCCTCTGTTCCTCGGAGCTTACAGCTTGTTACAATATTTAAACATTTAAAGTGTATTTATGGTGAAAATTTAAAATCATTATATTCATTTCCACATTTCAATTATTTCTAGTGTACTAATATTAATCTGAATGATCTTGAAGTTTGTAAACTTGCTTTGTGAAGATCCCCACATATTTACTGCCTTGAATTCTGTGATGCATATTCACTATTCCCTGTAAGTAGGTACTGCTGTGTCACACATTTCACAGTGCCTGCCTTCTGAACTACAGAGCTACTGAGAGGAGGAGTCTCTGGGGGTGGAGTCAGAACAGGAATCAATGAGTGCGGGCAGCATGGTACCATGAGATTTGCAGTCCTTAGACAATGAAAGTAAACAGCAGATGAAAAGCTGCAAAGCATGCAGGGAAGTAGTGGAAATAGATGGCAGGCAGCAATTACAACATGAAAGGAGATTTTTTTTAAGTAAGATTATGTTGGATTGTCAAAAAGAACTGTTGTTTATATTGATATTACCATGCTGATGGCAAACATGAAAGTATATGCTGTGACCATGGAACGTCTATAAATTTCTAAAGGTACAGCACTGTGAAAAAGCATTAAATATATCTAAGCCCAATAACAAAAACTTAATAAATTGCCCTGGTAACATTTTGCTAACTTTATATATTACCCGTAAAGTGTTCAGCAAAGTGGTTGACAAGGGGTTAGGACAAGCTATAACATGGCCAGTGGTGCCTGAGAAGGTACAGCAACAGTTTAAAATAATAAGCATTGTTCCAGCCACAGTGTTGAGTTGTAAGCAAACTGACCCCATAATTACAGGAATAGTTGCAACAGTGTAACAACTGCAATGTTACAACCCATTAAAGGGGGAAATCTGTACTGAAAAAGTAAGGTGTCATTGCTGAAATCTCCAAGCTAGTTGCTTGTTTTTTCTGTGGGTACAATGTCTTCTAACTACTTTTTTACATATTTGATTTGGGTCAGTGGACAAGGACCTATTGTGGATCGGAGACAAGACAGGCAACTAGCATTTTCTGAAGGAGGTCAGTGATGGCAGAGAGGGAAGGGAGTGAGGAAAGGTAAGTCAGGCATTTTTGCTTTTATGTCTTCCTGTGCTGGTGATAGACATTCTTATATATCCTGGTTTTACAGGGATAAAAATCTTTCCATTGGGGTCATTTTTTTAGCAATCTGACAGATTTTACAGATAAGCAACACCCTGGCCAAAACTGGGGTCAAAAGCACCATGAAGAATCTACCTGGAGTGGATAAACCTGACACCTATCTAATACATAATACACCACTCTCATTCAAACATTATAGGAATTCTCTGCCCAAACCTCTTCTGAATGCCTCAAATGCATGCATACCTGATACGTGGAAAAACTGATCTGCCTAGCATAGGGCACTGGCATGCTAGAATCTCAGAGATCCAATTAATGAAACAGCTTACAGCAGGACTAAAGTATCAATCCAAAAAACAATTCATTATATAGCCTCTGATTTACAGCCTTGTTAAATATGAATTGGGGGCCTTAGTACAAGCATTTTAGAGAGAGGAGCTTTTCTTTTTTTCTTGACCTAACCTACTTCCCACTTCATTTTCTTTTTTCCTTTCTTCTATCCTCTATACCAGGGCTTAACATTTCAAGTCCTGAGCTACTATACAGGCCTTAAGAGTTACTCGCCACCAACAAACACACACAGACACACCTGTACACACACACACACAAAGACATGTACATATACACACACATACACACAGAGACACATGCACACACACAGGCACGCATACACAGAAATACACACGCACAGACACATGTACATACACACAGACATGTACGTACATACACACACATACATGTAAATACACGCAGACAACATGTACAGATACACACATGTACACACACGCATGCTGTTAAGTGCTCTCTCCTCTCCCCTGAAGCCACCACTGGCTGACAGAGGATCATGTGACCAGAGTGAGCTGAAATTAGGTAGGCGCACACACAGCTCTATAAAAAGTTGCAGTACTTCTTTGTTCACTCACAGAGCCGGGTACTGCACTCTAGGGGGAGGCAGAGAGCACAGCACACACTCCTTCCTTTGCTTTCACTACGCTCAGCTATTGAGCAGTCTGACGGCTCCCAATGCCAATGACAGATCCGGCCTGAGCTCTGAGCCTGCTCAGCAAGACGGCCCTGGGGGACACACTCGCCCCCACCATAATTTCCACTCGCCATTGGCTTGCAGGCGAGTGGAAATTTCAAGGCCTGCTCTACACCTTTCTTACCTCACTGTCCTACCCCTTCTTCCATAATTCTAAAATACAGACCATGGCAGGGAAGACATCAACTCACTTTGCTTGCTACTTTGTGGAATTCCACTGGTATTACACGTCTACTTTGTATTGTTTGTCCTTTTAATAATCTTGCCTTGGATATGTACCAGAAACAGAAAGGACATTAAAATAGCTATCTTTTCTAGTATAAAGTTTGTATGGGTCTTCTGAACAGGGCTCATCTCACTATTACTGTTTGAAAATGGTCGTTTGGATCACCAATTAAAAAAATTTCTTTATCAGATAGGTTTTTTTATTTTACAGTCACACTATGCAGGACTTACAGTCATGGCCGAAATTGTTGGCACCCTTGATATTTTTCCTGAAAATCAAGTATTTCACACAAAAAAGGTATTGCATTAACACATGTTTTGCTATACACATGTTTATTCCCTTTGTATGTATTGGAACAAATATAAAACAGAGGCAGGAAAAGCAAATATGACATAATGTCACACAAAACCCCAAAAATGGGGCTGGACCAAAGTATTGGCACCCTTAACTTAATATTTGGTTGCACACCCTTTGGAAAACATAACTGAAATCAGTCGCTTCCTATAACAATCAATAAGCTTACTGACACCTCTCACCCGGAATTTTGGACCACTCTTCCTTCATTGCAAACAGCTCCAGGTCTCTCTTATTGGAAGGACAATTTTCCCAACTAGCAATTTTAAGATCTCTCCACAGTGTGTTCAATGGGATTTAGATCTGGGCTCATTAGCATTTTCTGAAGGAGGCACTTCAGAAGGGAAGGGAGTCCAGGTAAGTCAGGCATTCTTTGCCTTCCATTTCTGAGTGCTTTTTGACGTATGTTTGGGGTCATTGTCCTGCTGGAAGACCCAGGATCTTGGACGCAAACCCAGCTTTCTGACACTGGGAATCTACAGTGCGACCCAAAATCCTTTGGTAATCCTCAGATTTCATGATAGCCTTGCCCACACAGTCAAGGCACCCAGTGCCAGAGGCAGCAAAACAACCCCAAAAAACATCATTGAACCTACACCATATTTTACCGTAGGTACTGTGTTTTGCCTTCTTTGTAGGCCTCATTCCGTTTTCGGTAAACAGTAGAATGATGTGCTTTACCGAAAAACTCTATCTTGGTCTCATCTGTCCACAAGACGTTTTCCCAGAAGGCTTTTGGCTTACTCAAGTACATTTTGGCAAACTGTAGTCTTGCTTTTTTATGTCTCTGTGTCAGCAGTGGGGTCCTCCTGGGTCTCCCTGCCATAGCCTCTTTCATTTCATTTAAATGTCGACGGATAGTTCGCGCTGACCACTGATGCTCCCTGAGCCTGCAGGACAGCTTGAACACTTTGGACACACACACATTTGGGGCTGCTTATCCACCACATCCGGACTATTCTGCGTTGCAATCTTTCATCAATTTTCCTCATCCGTCACGACCAGGGAGATTAGCTACAGTGCCATGGGTTGCAAAAAACTTCTTGATAATGTTGCGCACTGTGGACAAAGGCAAATCTAGTTCTCTGGAGATGGACATTGTAACCTTGAGATTGTTGATAATTTTGCCACAATTTTGGTTCTCAGGTCCTCAGACAGTTCTCGTCTCCTCTTTTTGTTGTCCATACGCTTAGTGTTGAGCACAGACAGACACACAATGCAAAGGTTAAGTGAACGTCTCTCCTTTTATCTGCTTTCAGGTGTGATTTCTATATTGCCCCCACCTGTTACTTGCCCCAGGTGAGTTTACAGGAGCATCTACACATGCTTGTAACATTCTTATTTATCCGCAGTTGTGAAAGGGTGCCAATACTTTTGTCCAGCCCATTTTGGAGGTTTGTGTGTATTATGTCGAATTTGCTTTCTTTCCTCCTTTTTTTTGTTTTGTCCCAATACACACAAAGGAATAAACATGTGTATAGCAAAACATTTGTATGTTTAATGCAATACGTTTCGTGAAAATACATGATTTCACCAATGGAGAAATATCAAGGTGCCAACAATTTCGGCCATGCAGGACTGTAGGTACTGTACATTTATTTGTCAAACAAAGAAAAAAAATGGCATTTTCCATAGATGTTAATGACTTAGATCAAATCCTCTGAATGTGCTGGAAAAAAAAATAAAATGTCCCCATTAAATAGCAAAAAATGATTAAACATCACTGAATAATGATTTCTTAAAAACAAAGTCACCAATGCAAAAAAAAAAGGCACTTACCACAAAGTAAAACACTGATGCCATCGTGACATTTTCCATGCCATCTTATGGAGTCTCACTTTTAGGTTGGCTCTATGTGGCAGGCAAGTGTCTTACATATGACAGGGGGTTAAAATATATGCCCCTCCTTGAACCTGATACAACCTTTTATAGCATTTATCTTATGTTTGACAAGGACAACTTCAATTACTTTCTCTTCCTGATTTGCTAAAACTGGAGAGTGCAAAATCTGGTGCAGCTATGCACGTTAGCCAATCAGCTTCTAACTTTATCATGTTCAATAAGATTTGATAAAAAAAATGGAAGCTGATTGGTCTCTATTCAGAACTGCACCAGATTGTGCACTCTGCAGTTTTAGTAAACCAACCCCAGTGTCTACTGGTTTGAAATGTCCACTGCCCTCTATATAAGCCTGAGTTCACAAAAAAATCATTCTATGTAGGGTCATCCCTTAGGGTTTGCTCTGTGACTGAAAAAGCTAGCTTTTGAAAGGTAGTACAAGACCAATAAGTAAATAAACAGTCCAGCATGACTAGCAACATGCAGAAACCAGGAGGTTCAAAAGAGCAATTCCACCCACTGTTAACAAAAGCAAACTTTACAATATGTTGGTATATCTCTTTGAGCTGTTGTTAGTCCTTAAAATTTTAGTAAAGAAAAGGCAATGAAGGGTTTACCATGTGCGTATTACTGTGTATTTGTGGACTATGTTTCTGGAAGATTAAGGTATGCCCAAATGCTCCTGTGTTAATTAGGATGGGTATATGGCTCGCTAATAGCTAGCCCTAAGGTGACATCTGTTTATCTATGGCTGTCCTTACAGTTATGACAAATAAGGAGCTGACTCTTTTTACATTCTGTTTCTCATTTTAACAGAGATGCAGCAATGATAGTCTGCAGATTTGAAGCTAAGATAGGTCAACTCCACTCCTCTGTGTTAAGTGGAATTCTACTTCTGTGTGTTTTTTGTAAGAGAAATATATACCAGTTTCCGACAAAGTGAAGACTGATTGATTACATCTGGGAATGTACCTTGGTCTCTGGACTGCTGAATGGAACTCCATAAAATGATTTTGATTTACTAAGTGCTGGTATTCTTTCCCAATTTACTCCTATTATCAAGGATCCTAAGGCCTTCCTTCCTCTAAGCCCCTTGCCAGCCCTAATGTGACTGTGCTGGACTCATCGCTTTCTGCAATATTTTGCATACAAGCTTTTGAATGCATCTCCACATATTGTTCTATACAAAACCAGAAAGTTATCATGTATGGGCAGCACAACGAACAATTAGAGAATGTCCATCACAATACTCCATCACCACAGGATGAATAACATTGTGAATGTGGCATGACTGGTACCTGATCGTGGCTGGTTTCCACAGAGTTGCCAATGCCATGGAATGTCATCTGCACAGGCGACAGTGTCAAGCATGTCATGAAATCATTCCCGCTCTGTCTATCATTGTAACTGACCTGCACCCAAAAAAAATAAATCAATAACACAGTTACTAAAATGTATAAAAGCGGTTTAAGGCAGAACTCAAACTGAGTGGTAATACCCATCAAGGGGAAATAAGACAATTGAATTAATTTATACAAAGTCACAATAACATCACTAATAAACTACTAATAAAGATTGCCAGAGACAGGGTAGCATCCATAGGAAATAAGGGCAATATAAACACTGCTTACAAGAAATGCATTTGGCACACCTAGTTCTGAGGTTTAGAAAAAGTCTAGGACAACTGTTTGACTTTTCCCTTTTCAGGAATAAACAGTGTTTTAATTGCGCAAATGCCACACAAACAAAAATGAAGCTGGAAGCAAGAGGTAGACAGGTGGTAAGGACTGGTGATTCATTTGACAATCGGAAGATATTGTAACCACCTATAATGGTGCTTAACCACTTCAAGTCCGGACACTTTTACCCCTTTCCTGTCCAGGCCAATTTTCAGCTTTCAGTGCTATCACACTTTGAATGACAATTGCGTGGTCATGCAACACTGTACCCATATGAAATTTTTTTTGAGACAGATAAAGCTTTATTTTGGTGGTGTTTATTCACCACTGGGATTTTTATTTTTTTTGCTATGTAAATGAAAATGTCCAAAAAGTTTGAAAAAAAGTGTTTCTTATAAAATGTTGCAAATAATATTTCATCATAAATCTTGGCCAAAATTTATTCCGTTATCTTTTTAGTAAAAAAAATAATAACCCAAATTATTTTATAACCAAAAATTATAAATTTTTTAAAACATTTTTTTTTACATTTATTTAATTTTTTTAGATTATTATTATTTTTTTTTTTACTGTCACCCTAGCAGTACAGTGTCACCATGGTGACACTGTACTACTTGTGGGGGGTGAAGATTTTTTTTTTTTTTTTAGACTGATTGCTTTTACACCCATAAAGGCTGTAAAAGCAATCATGTCTGCTTCTCTCTGGCTGCATTCTTGCAGCCATTGAGAACTACTGTGTGAGCTGTGATTGGTCACAGCATGTCACATGGTACAAGGCTGTTGTGAATAGCCTTGTACCATGTGACCTCTGTGATCATTCACAGATTTCACACGTAGTAAGCAATGATGTCAGAAGTGACATCTTGCTTACTACTTTGCATGTGATCACTGATTGGCCAATCAGTGATCACATGATTGGGGACCTCACACAGAGGTCCCGTACGACAATCAGTGTTCCATTGTGTTGGATCGCGGTGCTGCGCTCCCAGGGAGCGTGCACAAGCAGGGGGCGTG